AATCCGAAATAGATTTTGAATCTATTCCGGATCCGAAAATAGAAAAAGGCCGGTATAAGAACCAGCATTAGAAACGACAAAACGACGCTAATATCCCAAATGTTGCTGGTTTTACTGAACTGGAACCTCCGGACACTCACCCCGATGGGTCCCCGCATCTCGGACCAGGACCTCAACATCCAAAGCCCACCCTTAATCGCACCCGAAAAAGAGCAGGAGTTTAGATGCCCTGTCTGTAGATCGTTTTATTTTCATCTCTTTGCAATCAATTTTTTGCTTTCTCCTACATTCAAATGCTAATATAATTTAAAATTAAGTATGTTTATTTCAAACATAAGAAGCATGTTTAAAATAAACATATTTATTTTTGTTCGCATAGTTGTCAAACCAAACAAAAATATTCACCTTTATTTTCAACACGAATATTTATAAAATAAATGTAACATTATTTTTATTTTAAACATAAATATCACATGACTTCAAACATAGAATACGTTTGAAATAAACCTTGTTTATTTTTGTGGCCAGAACAAACTGAGTTTACGTTTAAATTTACCTCAAATATTTTTGTTTCAACGATAATTTTTTCTGCGTGTCACTATAGTAATGTACTAGTGCAATTTTTGTGCATCTAAAACTGCTCATAAAGACGATAATAAATAAAAACTGAAAATTTGCATGCATTTCCAAATGGTTTCCTACCATTCACATACATTCGAAAGTGGCTGGCCCTCTGGATGTGGATGATGTCAAAAACAACAACACATTATTAATTAAACCTGCAATGCTACCAGACTTATATCTGACCGATAAGGAATTAATTTTGACAACCGCATTCTTGAGAAAAGGCCGATCAACGACAGATAGATTTTCGAACATTTAAATTTATTTTGTAAAATTTAAGTGCAAATTTACCAAATGGAACACACACACTTAAACAGAGGCCCTGAGTTCGGTAAAAAAAATTATCGTCTTAGATCGGTAATGCTAAAAATTACGGATGTTTCGGTATTTTCTCGCTTTATTGCTGAAAACTGTAAATGAAATGACCGAATTTCGGTAATTTCATTTTAATTTACCGAAAACGGTAAACATTTTTACCGGCAGGTCTGTAAATCAGCTTCATCACTGACTTCGGTGAAATATTTTTCTGAAGTTTCGGTAAACAAAGCGTTCCATTACTGAGTTCGGTAATGGTCTAAGTAAACGTCAAATCCACCATATTGTTATTTTCGATCGACTTTAAAAGCGTTCGTGCTTGTGAAAAATAAAAAGGTGAAATTATGGAGGCTGTTATTCAACACCAAAATGAGAGAATCGTAGATATTTTCCGTAAATAATTAATTTTCGTTATCTTAATAAATACCGATTACAGATGGCCGATGTTGTTGCTTGTTTTTTTCTGTCGGTCCAAGTTCCATTCCCGTTGGCGACGATCTGAAAACAGCATTTGGAATATTTTTCCAAAGCTTCCTTGTTTTCAGTGTAGCGCCGAATCCTTCCGACAAAAACTTGGTTTTATTCATTGGTGGTGCAATTTGCAACACTAACTTATTGATCACGACAGCAGCCAAATTTTTTCATGGGTTGCAGTGATCGCCACCTTGAAACAATATTAAAGCAAATTACAGTTGAGTCGGTTACCTTTTTAAAAAATTACAGATCTCTCGGTAATTTTCGATTTGCATATCGTCCACAAAATTACAGTTCTCCGGTAAAGTCGACTACAAATCAAGCAATGCACATCGGTAAACGTTACCGATCGTTCGGTAAATTTGACAGCTAATTTTGCTGATCCAGTTTACAGATTTTTCGGTAATGTTCTCGATTACCGAAAACATTACCGACCGTTCAGCTGTTGAGAATTCGGTAAATGAATTACCGAAGTCGGTGATTTTTTCTAAGTGTGCAGCTTCAGTTTCGTCAAAAATTAATTTACTCAAAAATGAGTGGAATTTTTCGTGCTTTCTGGGGAAACTTCTCAAATAAGAGAAAAACCGATAGAGATTTTCATTCAGTCTCTTTTTATACTCCTTAGAGTAGTGCCAAATTTAAGTGAAAATTCAAATATCGATACTTTTTCGAAGGGTATGGGTAGCTTTTGTAAGCAATTCATTTTATCGTTGATTTGGCGTAACTATGGTCGCTCGCCCGTACCTACTAACACCAACCGGTGGAAACTAACCATTTAAAAATTGGCTCACTGCTTGACTAGCCTATTGATCCCAAGTACTTCTATAAGCATACCCCACTCTTGTCAAAATTCTAGTATTGCACTACGTTTGTTTTGATTCGCTATGAAAGTTTGACAGATAAAATGAGGGGTTCGTGCATTTTCCTATGTTTCGAGGGGTGCATCGATTAGCTTGGGACCAAAGAGAGTACCAAAGCTGAGCCAAAAAGTTGAGCAAGTTTCTTCGGGACCTTCTGGTCTTAGAGTTACCTCTATGCTACTAGGCTTAGAGTTACCTCTATGGAGTCACCTCTATGGGACTATAGTGCAGAAACCCAAAAGTAGGTAAAGCGAGTCAAAGTTGTTTTCATTTACTTGTGTGCAATTCGTATGGAATTTTCCACTTTCTACCCAAAAATAAGTTATTTGTACCGTAAAACGGGGTAACATTGATAGTTTTTTAAAGAATATTCTAAATAATTTTTACGACAGTGAATGTTTTTCAAATTTTATATTTTCAAAACAAGTACTGTGGATCCAAGAGTCAATTCGTTAAGGCCCAAACGCAATGTGGGTGGAAGCGGAACGGAAACGGAAATTTTGACAGTTGTCACAAATGACATCAAGAAGCCTAACCGATGTCGATTTGGTTCTAACTAGTTTTCAATCGGACAAGTAGGCTTACTCAGATCGGGCTTTTCCGCTGCCGCTGCCGTTCCGCTTCCGCTGTCATTGCGCTTGGGCCTTTAGTAATATCATAGAGGTAACTCTAAGACAAGAAGGTTCCGAAATAACGTGCTCAACTTTTTGGCTCAGCTCTGGTACCATCTGGTACTCTCTTCGGTCCCAAGCTAATCGATTCACCCCTCGAAACATAGGAAAAACCAATAACCCCTCATTTTATCTGTCAAACTTTCATAGCGAATCAAAACAAACATTGCGTAGTACTAGAATTTTGACTAGAATAGGGTACGTTAATCGTTTGCTTGGGACCAATAGGCTACTAAAGTGGTGAGCCAATTTAAAATCGTTAGTTTCGTATTGATTGTTGCTATTAGAGTGTAGCCAAAAGTAGGTAAAAGTGAACTGGCCGTTGGGTACTTTTTTCTTACCGTGCAGGAATCAATTGTGATAAACACCTTCTTGAAAATCTAAACACGGAACCGATTTTTGTTCATTTAAATCAAAAATATAAATGTTCATTTCAACAATATAGAATTTGTCGTTTCGGATCCGATCCCTGTATCATCCTCCTCCACAAATGACGTCGGAAGAAAAACGAAAATCCGAAATGGATTTTGAATCTATTCCGGATCCTCCAGCCCCCCTCCTCCAACACCGAACGTAGAAAGAGGCCGGTATGAGGACCAGCTTTAGAAACGACAAAACGAAGCTAATATCATAAAGTTTCACTGGTTTCACTGAACTGGAACTTCCAGACACTCACCCCGACGGTCCCCGAATCTCGGACCAGGACCCCAACATCCACAGCCCACCCTTAATCGCACCCGAAAAAGAGCAGGAGTTTAGGTGCTCTGTCTGCAGATCGTTTTTTCATTTCTTTGCAATTCATTTTTTGCTTTATCCTACATTCAAATGCTAATATAATTTAAAATTAAGTATGTTTCTTTCAAACATAAGAAGCATGTTTAAAATAAACATGTTTATTTTTGTTCGCATAGTTATCAAACCAAACAAAAATATTAACGTTTATTTTCAGCACGAATATTTTAAAGTAAACGTAACATTATTTTTATTTGAAACATTAATATCACATGACTTCAAGCATGGAATACGTTTGAAATAAACCTTGTTTATTTTTGTGGCCAGAACAAACTGAGTTTACGTTTAAATTTATCTCAACTATTTATCTTATTTTTTTTTTTCAACGATAAATTTTTCTGCGTGAAGGGCCACCTCCAGGGCCACCCACATTAAATCCGTTTACGTTACGTTGACGTAAATTTGACAGTTCGGCAATGGATTTAGCTGTCACTTTGCCACAACGCGTCCGATCCGGATCTAATGTGCGTTGGTATTAAGGATCTTCAACAGATGGATTATCGAAAATTATAATTTATTTCCGAAGTGTCAAATTTAAGTGAAAATTAAGCAAATGCAACACAGCCAAATAGTGCAACGGCATTATTTTGCAGGAACGTGTGTTGATCTTTCATTCAGTCTAAAGTCAGCAAAACTTTGCTGATTTTCAGCAATTTAAATTGGGTGTGTACACGAAACGAAAATCAATTATTTTATTTATGTGTTTCACTTATACATTTTTGCCAAAACATCAGCCTTATACGTTCCATAAGACAAACCACATAGGTCCTATAAGAATGCATGAAAGGTATGTGTGACCGCTTATACATTTCATTTGAAACATGATCTTCATTAACTTTTTGCAAGGCGTCTGCTTATTGATGAATCTAATTACGGTCGACCGGCTGATGGAAATGATATGAAAATGATAATGACGTTTTGCTATCTGTCAAATCGTATGGAATATTTTTAGTACATCATCACTTTTATAGTTTTGGAATCCAAACCTAGGAGTCGCATGCACTGGTTCAGTTTCGCGTAAAATCATCTATTAGTTGATTTATACATTTTATGAATAATCAGCAATCGAAATTTGCCAAAAAGTATAAGGAGATTTCTATCCGTGACGACCCTTCGAACTCCGCAACAGAATTTTTTCCGTTTGAAAATGCAGATTAGCTTGCACACAAACCTCAGCATAACGCTCTAGTACTTCCCCGGCAGACATCCCTGTGGAAAACTCGGCGGCTGTCATCGCACATCTCCCTTTGCGCGTATCATCGTCGAACACGTATTTGACACAATCAAAACAAAACGGCACCCGCAATTTTGGTCGGAAAAAGTGAAATCTCTTGAAAAAGTGATGAATGTCTCGTGGAAATTGCGAGAATAGTTCAAATTTCCACGTTCGACATTGCGAGCTTTTAGTTCAGTGTGAAATAATAACCGAGGAACGACAATTCCTGTCCCAAAATGAGCGACATCCAAACATGGTACAAACAGGTTCCGATGTTCACTCGGCTGTGGCTCTCGGCCACGGTCGGAATCAGTTTACTGGCCCGCTTTGGAATCCTTCCACCACAGTATCTGATCCTGCAGCAGTATCCACTGTTTAAACAGTTTCAGGTAGGAACTTTTGCATCTGGTTTAGTTCAATAAGATTTTCTACTCTTCCCTCAATCTTATCACATCTAGCTATGGCGACCGATGACGGCAGTCTTCTTCTACCCACTGAATCCGGCCACCGGGTTCCACTTTATGTTAAATTGCTTCTTCCTATACAACTATTCGCTTCGTCTGGAGACCGACCACTTCAAGCAGAAACCGGGGGATTACTTCTACTTGTTGTTCTTCAACTGGATTCTTTGTGTCTTGATTGGGCTGGTCATTGAACTTCCCGTAAGTGATCTGAATACGAAACTCAATTTTTAAAGCATAATTTACATAACTATTTTCATTTTCCAGATTTTGATGGACCCAATGGTACTCTCCGTCCTGTATGTTTGGTGCAAACTGAATAAGGATGTCATTGTGAACTTCTGGTTCGGTACTCGCTTCAAGGCCATGTACTTGCCGTGGGTTTTGCTGGGAATGAATCTGATTCTTTCCTCGGGGTAAATTCAAAGCTCCAAACTTTGAGAACTAAATGAGTAACTAATTTACTGTGATTACAGAAGCATCTTCTCAATCGTCGGTATTCTGGTGGGTCATGCTTACTATTTCTTGAAGTTCATCTACCCACAGGAACTGGGTGGCCCAAGCCTGATTGAAACTCCGTTCTTCGTGTGAGTAATTTTTGATAAATTTTCAAATCAGACGAATTGCAAGTTTTCCTCTTTCGAAACAACAGCAAACGCTTTTTCCCGGATGTCACCGGTGGAGTGCACGGGTTTGGCGTCCCTCCCGTCGGTCAGCGACCGGTCAACCAACAGCAGCCACAGCAAGGCAACGGATTTGGATTCCGACATGCATGGGGACGTGGCCATATTCTGGGACGCGATTAAGGTAGGTTTCTGTGTCGACATGTCGGAGTGTTCGGAATTTGTAAATATAATTGTGAACCAGTAGCTTTTTACTCATCATCTACCGAAGCTCTGTTCTCGCTGCAACGTAAATGCTAAATCTAGTTCTAACTTTTTTATGTGAATCGAATCAATGGACTAAAGTGTGGCTCATGGGCGAAAAAAATATTATTCAACAGAAGTAAATTTATTGTAAAAACGTATACAGGTCTAGGCAATTTATTTGATATCACATAGCATTGCAATTCCCCGCAAAATCCAGTGATCCGGTGCCTTCAGGGTTGGTAACCAGAGAGGCGTGATGTAGTTCAGGTCGGTGCGGTTGGATTTCTTGTAAACGGGACATTCGTATAGTTTGGGATCCTTCGGGGCAGTTGAATTGATTGCGTAAATGTGGATCACTGGCATGGCCGTGTAGAGAACTTTGTTGATAGATTCCTGCAGCCGGTTGTTCCTTCGATCCCAACCGGCTCCGTCCAGGTACAAACCATAGACGAATACCCCTTCATTTGGAGGTTGCTTACATTCTTCCGTTAGCATTTTGGTCACATCGTTGTGCAGCGTAACGACATCCAACGCCCATCCTTTGTGAGCTCTGGCGACCTCCTGTCGCATAGCCGTTAGAAACCCTTGTGGATTGAAGAACCCAGTCATCCAGAACATATTCGGACGACCCTTGAAGCACCACGTGTAGAATTGGTTGTTACGCTCGATTAGCTCCGTGAACCAGAAGCCCAGCGAAGCCGATGCCCAACTTCCACGTTTCCAGATTTCCGGCACTCGAGCGTCGTATATGTTGTCCAGGGCATCCCGCAGCTGCTCGTTCATAATGATGATACCATCTATGGCCAGAATTAGGTCTTTCAGCGTTGTTCGCACCAGAAGAATGATCTGTAAAATTGAACATCGAATGAAATGTGGCTAAAAGTTAGAGTGAGATTATTCTTACGTTTTGGATCCGGTCGATCTCCTGTCGAAGGAAAATGTTCATCGATCCCAGATGGCCCATGATCTTGAGACGTTCCTTCACGGCGTACGGGTCGTATGGGGTGGGAACTTTGGACAGCATATCGTTCACTAGTCGGGCCACCGTGGCTTCACGGGTCTCCCCACCACCGCCGGCGGATTCTGTAAAAACAGAATCCCAATTTAACATCGTGCCGTTCATTCGTTTACAGAGTGATTATTCTGTTACAAATTTAACAGATCATTTATAGATTATTTCTGTTGAAATACCTAGAAACCTATATTTAAATGACTAATATCAAGTAAGGGAGAGTTGACTGTAGATAGATGTTTGAGGTAATTTCAAGGACTTCAGAGAGCTTCCAAGCATTGTATCGAAGAAAAAAAGTTCAGAGGAATACAAGACATTCCGACTGTCACGGTAAGTCCATGAGACTTGTAATGGCACGTTTGCAGAATTCAAAATATAGGTAATCTTCGAGGTTTAAGTCCAGATGATTTCTAGGAATGGATCTAGTCATATACAGAGGATTTATCTGAACTTCTTCTAATATTTGTTCTTAAACCTGTCCCAGAAGTGTTCTCGAATTACTCTTTCTATGCCTTATAATTTCATACTAACTGAATATGTCCTGGAGGAACATACCAGCCCTCAGCTAAAAGAAGAGATTAATCCAGAAATCGTAATCCAACGCCGTAGTGGAAAACAAGATGGTGAATCTATGTACCAAATAACGACTATAGGCTGAAATCTAGGCGCCCATGCAGCTGTATAAGCCACCGTTCGCCTGTATAAGCTTGTTTGTTGAGAAAGTAGACTTATTAATTAAAGCACGGTATTATTAATCCGGAAACAGCAGGCTCGATTTTCAGTCCGATCTAGATAACCTCGACTTTCCTGGGCCTCCGGTTTGATAATACCGTGTCTTTACTGACTAGGCTATCTGAGGTAGGGGTACTTAAGTTATAATTAATCCTGGTACGCAAGAGATCCATTGTTGATACGGTGAGAGACTGCAGGAGATCGGTCCTGAGAACTTTGTTAACTGGGTTCAGAGGTTTTCAAAAGCAGAGGGTGGTCTGAAGAATTTCTAGACCGGGTCTGAGAGTTTCTGGATACAGATTTGAAAGTTCCAGGAGACAATCAACTAGACTCAGCATCCTCTAGTTTTTGAACTCCAACTCCACCAACTTGGATTCTGTGGCAAAACAATGTTCCAGTATCCCCATGTCCCGCATTTAAAACGCAACCAAAAACTGAACTCACCTTTCGGCTGAATCGAAACGATCGTATCCAGAATCTCCTGTGTGGTATTGCTCTGGTACGTAATGTCCGCATTCGCATGCAATCCGTACACCTGCGGAGGATCGACTAACGGCATCTGCTCGATCGCCTCCATGTACTCCTCCAACGATTTAAACCTCATGATCCGGTACTCCCTGAAGAAGCTAAACTCCTCCAGAAACATGGCGTCCGAGAACCATACCTTGGCAAAAGTGTTCAACAGTCGCTTATCATAATCATCCGTGACCCGTCCCCCGTACTGCACCTCGCCCAGCATGTACCGCACGGTCTTCCAACTAATGCCACGCTTCGGATCCAAACCGTCCAGGTGATTCTGCACGAACATGCAGCTCGCCAACCAGTCAGCCGAGTTGAACTCGTACGGAATGTTCCATCCCAGAGGACCGAACTTCCTTCGCTCCTGCACCACGGTGTGCAAAAACGAAATGCCGAAAACCAACGGCACATAGAACGGCGATTCGCTATACTCAAACATCTCAACCGTCATCGATCCATAGGTTCGCTTCAGACCTGCCTTCACCCCCGACGGAGGCTCATTCGTAAACTTGATCGACATCTGCAGGAACGTAATCGGAAACTGTGGATGCGGCTCGGTTGTAACCCATACTCGGAAATCCTGATGAAAACCCGTTCCCGTCTTCTCCAGTTCCATAATCAACACCATCAGCTCGTTCACATACTCCAACCCTAGATGGCAGTTCTGCAACAGAACCCAGGAACCTTCCTCTAAGGAAACCGAAATTAGTTTCCGAGCATGCACCTCCTGACCCTGTCCCATCGAAATCGACCGGCATTTGATAGCATTCTTCTTCGCCAAGGATTCAATGCTAGGCGTCGGATCCGATCCCATCGAGAGGAAGCACACCAGCGGAGTCAGCGGTCGACTTTCTTCCAGCATAGTGTCGTAATTGATGATCACTGGATCGGCAAATTTCGGCCCCAGTGACATGGCGAGATATTTCCTACTTTGAGAAAGAGTTCGATCCGGACACCAGGCTCGAATCAACAATAGCTTTCGGAAAGCATCCATATTCTGGTACCCATTGGGGATCACCTCTTCCTCGGGAGCTTCCTTCGAAAACCAGCTCTTCCAGCCTTTCTCGTTCATCTCTACATGTTGCAAAATTTCATCGAACTGATACAGCGAGGCGAGCTGTACCAAGTTGAGCCAAGCAATATCGGCAATCCATTTGTAAGGTTTCTCCGGACAGGTGTTGATGTCCAGTGCAGCTCCACCTTTAATGAAAGTCTGAAACTCCTGATGGGTGACGGTCTTTTTCTCCAGGTCGATGTTCAAGGCCATCAACAGAACAAACAGGTATTTATGAACCTCGTACAAACCCCGGCAGATGTATTGGAAGATGTCGTACATCAGGTACTCGTTTATGTTGCTGATCCTACGAGCAGTCACAATGTGCTTGTCAGAACGAGCCATCGAAATGTCGAATCGCTCCAGGAACTGCACCAGTGATGTCTGGTACATATTGTTTACCATCGACATACTGCAGATTAAGAAGTACAGCACACTTCCCCTAGTAGCAATCGGTCGATACTCTTCTCGAGCCCTGTTGATCTTGATTTCTGTTTCACGTGCAATCTTCAACTTCTCCCGCACTTCAATCGAGGTAGTCTTGCTGGTGTTCAACACCGCAATGACCGTCACATCGTCGACCAAGCTTCCTTCGGTAGTCGACAGCTTATGCAACAGATTCGCTTCCAACTCCTGCATCTTCCTTCGATTAGCGGTCACATCCTTGATCAGGTTCGTTCTTTCCGACTCCAGTTCCCTTTTCTCCGTGAGGATAACTCGACCCAACAGTTGATCCTCCAGTCCTTTGATCGTCACGGTAAAGTCAATGATTGAAGTCCGCGCTGAGATTTCCGGCGTATACACCGGATTCGGGAGCTTCGTAGTAATGTACAACCGGAAATCGGAATGTACGTCCACCTCCTTGTCGCCGATCTTTACCTTGTAGGTGTTACCCATCTTTATGAAGTTCTTCTCAAGCACATTGTCCAAGATTGGATCTAGTTCTTCACCAACGTCTTCGATAAGCAAAGGTATTCCCTGCGATACGCAATCTTCGATATGATTCCTGAAGAAGCGATGTTCCAGCGAAGTGACTATCAAGCCATGCTCCCTTTCCTTCTGTTTGATCCAAATTTTACCCTGAGATTGAGGATCAATTAGCAACGGGTAGCGAGCTGCTTGCGTTACAATGATACCATTCTGGATTGACAGCTCATCGTTTGGCAGCCCTTGAAGGTTCCATTCGCCAATGGTGGCATCATCCGATAGATTTTCCATTATGTTTATTTTCAATGACACTGGGATCTTGCGATTCTGCATCTCCTGTTGCCAGGATTTCTGCAGCAGAGTTCGATATTCTTGATTGAACGGTCCAGTGTACGAAAGGAAACCGGTAAGAATCAATACGTCTCCAACGAGTCGGTCTGTTTCACTCTTGAACTGAGATAACTGTTCGGTCCATCGGATTCTCTCATCTGCCAACCCATTGATCAAAGCAGTAGCAGCGTCCATCTTGTCCTGACATAGCTTGGCATCGTCCAGGACGGCTTGCTTCTTTGACATGGCTTCGTTGAACTCTTTCTGAACCTGCGCCAATTCTTCCTCCTTTGCCAGTAATTGTTCCTCTGCCACTGCTTGCTGTGCTTGTGCTATTTTCGATTTCTTCTCCTGCCTTGCTAGGTTTGCCTTCAACGGAAGCACATCTTTGTTGATTTCGAAGAAATTTCCCATAGCTATAGTCCACTGGAGCAATCCGGCAACATTTCCGCAAGCAGCCCTCGCTGCCTCAATGGTATACAAAGAATATTTATAGTACGGAATCAGCAGATCGATCATCTCAGCATTGATCAAATCTTTCTTAAAATTCTGAAGTTTGCCGATAAGACCTGCCTCTGCCAACAATTTTTGTGAGGCCTCCCAGGAAGTAAACAGGAACTGCCGTTCTGCATCCGCTTTCACAGCCAACACTCGCTTCTGAAGCAAGATCAACACAGCGTCCATGATCACCGTAATCAAATAGGGAGGCTTTCCAAGCTTCCGAACCGTTGCAATATCCGCATTGGAAATAGTATCCAGTGCAGCTGCGGCTGCTAGAAGGGCAGGTTCGGCAGCTTTGAGACTTTCGTTAGCTATTACCTTGTCGATGTTAATTTGTACCACCAAAGCATCTGCCTGTTCCTTCACAGCCAACACTTTTGTTTTCACAATCTCTGCATCTTGCTGTGACGCCATAACCGATGCCAACACAATTTCGGCCGCTTCCGTAGCTACGATGATGTCCTTTTCCTTTTCCTCCAGTTCAACACGCAGTTTGTCAACGGATTCAGCTGCTTCAATCAACTTTACCATACCGGTCTGCATTCTGCTGGCCAGCACTTCAATGTTGTCATGCTTCTCCCTATAAATAACTTTGTACCCTTCCAAAAACGACAGGAAAGACTTGGGCGTTACATGAGCCTGCCTTCGGAATCGCTCGTAGTATTCGACACAAACTTCCGCCACTTTATCCTGCACGAAGGCCATAATCTCGATCAGCTCTTTCTTGACTTCGGGCTTGCACACGATACTGTAGTCTTTGAGGAAGTGATTCGAAACGGCTATCAAAGCATCCTCTGGCCAGCGCTGGAACCAATCAATGGTACACCCGGATATCAGGCCGGGGAATTTCAACGATCGATTTCGGAACTTCTCACCCACCTAGATGAAACTTGGTTAGAGCTAGATCTGGACGATTTTCTTACAACGAATATTACCGGTGAAAAGCATAATACAATGTGTAGATTCGCCCGCGCTCGAGATATGAAGAAATCATACAGGTTATCCTGAGTTGGAATGCGCTTCGGATCCACCTTCTTCATGATCGGGATCAGGTCGTTCATTATTTGATCTGAAAAACATACATCCTAAGCAAATGTGACAATGGTTAAACGAAATATAAATTACCCAGATCATCCTTCGGGAAAAGATTCGCAATTTCACCAGAACTGAGCACATTATTGATGTATTCCAGGAATCCTTCGTCCTTAATGTCATTATCGGTGAAGATAAACGTAATTCCCTGACCTTCCAAACCAGCCACTCGATACAAGTAGCGCAGATCGTCCATCAAGTTGTTGATATTGTAAGCCCTGGTCAACGTAATTTGGTAGTACTTGTATCCGGCGATGAACGAAGCCAGCTTGGTTAAACTCTGTTTGCCGGACCCTCCAACTCCCACCAACAGAGCGTTCCCTCGCGGAGTCCTTATAATTCTGGAGATAATCATCAAATGTATCAACGCATCACGGAAGAACACCAGATCCATCTTTGCCCCCCGGACCTGCTCGTTAAACTGTTCCATAAACATCTTCACTCGAGCCGTGGTCTCTTCAAAACCAGGAATCTCCTCGTACAATTTCGGGGGCTCCAAGCTCACATCTTCACCTTCCTCCCCCGTTGGATCCGGAGCATCTCGCAAAAAGTCCACAAAGAAGGTCTCCGTCCGCTCGTAGTTCAGCATTTCGTCTTCGTCAAGCGATTCCTCAGCCAGTCGACGCATCGTATCCACAAACCAATCACGATCCGCAATGCTTGTGAACCGATCAGCGATTGCGCGAGTACATTCGTGGCACCACAGCTGAAAATGAAATTCATTAGGTAAATCATTTGATCGCATTCACAGTTAATGTACTTACATTCAGCACTGTCTGAATCGTTTGACACTCTTCGCCCTGGATCGTCAACATACCCTGCCAAATACGAGATAGGTCTCGCAGATTGAACACATAGTGGAACTTTGCCGGAGTCGGTAGCATCTTGATCTTAGTTGCTTGCCATAGTTTCCGAGTCAGCGGAACTAATTTCGGCACGAAGTTCACTATCGTCACATTGAATCGTGACTCACAGAAATAACCTTCACCAAGAACTCCGAAAATCTTATCCATCGATGTGTTGCTTGGAATCGCGCAGTTGAACACACAAAACTGCCGTTTCAACCGCGGAGGAATATCATTTCGACCTCCACCGGGATGAATCATAGCTGCCATTAGTTGAATGTCCAGAATGGTCGAAAAGTCTCCTGGTTTGTCCAGGGAATAGAATCCGGTATTCTCCATCACTTGTCGAACGATTTCGTTGGTCACCTGATCGCCCCATTCGTTGACGACTGGCATGTTGATGTCGTCGATAAAGATTGACATCTTGCGCTGACCTGGAGGTCCGTAGGTCGTTCCCACCCGCTTCTCAACGTAGGACTCTACGATTCGCTGGAACATGTTTGGAGTTGTAGCCGATGAAAAGTTGAAACTCTTCGACAGATGGTATTCCGGATCATAGTTGAGCATGTAACCCTGGATCATTACCGTTTTACCGGTTCCTTGTTCACCTATCAATAAAACGGCTTTGGATTGCTTTGCAATAAGATCGATCAAATAAGCCGTCCGTACGTTGTCTACGTTCGGTACCAGAATGCTCGCAAACTCCGGAATGCTATCACTTGGGTAGATGTATTCCTCAACTCGATTATTCCAGTGCTCCCAGGATCCGTTCTGAGATACAACGTATTCGAAAATAGTTTCCCCTGGCTGAATCTTTGGCCATTTCATCTTTGATGGGTGTTTCGCTATGAATTCTCCCATCGTTTCACGATCTTCTAGCTCAAGCACGGCTCCCAACGACCACATAACAGAAAACAGAAACAGGCGTTCCAGATGCTTATCTGCAAACTCAATCGCAACACCTTCGTCCTTGGGTGCAATTAAACCTTCCAAGATATCACAGCATTGTCTTATGTAGATCGCCTCCAGGATCTTCATCTTGGCTGCAAGTTTTGATTGTACAAAGATGTGAAGATCATCGTAGATTTTATGGAAAAACTTCCGCAGCGTATCAGCGACATCCATCGGCTTTGTCTTCAACCATCCGTTCAAGATCGGTTCCCATTTCAGAACCGAAGCGCTCATAAACACCATGCCCATTCGGCTGACCGTAGCAGGTGATGCATTGTCTACGTTGTCCGGTTCGAAAACTAGCTTTGCATTGGGAGCCATCGTTATGCGGTCACCGTTTGCTAGGGTCAACGTCTTGTTGTCATCCAGCACAGAGTTCAAATTCTCAATCCACACAGCATCTACCGGTCCGTCTAATACCAGCCATACAAAATCCGTCTTCTTAATCTTGAGAGTTCGTCTCCAAAGGGTCGAGAAAATTCCATCCGTCCAGTCGTTCGTAGCTACGTCCAAGCGACCAAACATCTGAGGTGCCGTAATGGCTTTCGGATTCATCCGAATCTCCTTATGCGGCATTCCTAGCTCGGTGAAGCTCTTCAGCAACGTGTGAATACAACGAGTCTTTCCCGCACCTGTTGGACCCAAGGTCATCAAACCGTGTCGCACCAGGGAAGTTTCATACAGCTGAATAACCTTCAAATTCCACTCTGGGTGATTGATCAAACCAAGTGACTCCGCACTGTTAGCAATCGCCCTCTGCAGATCCTTGTAGGTCGAAGTGCTCAGCTTGATACCAGGGAAAAGATCTTCAATCAACGAGATGAACAGCGGTTCGTCTTCGTCCACCAGCTTGGATACGTTCATATCACGCAAGACCCTCATCACAATGGTATCCTCCGTATCGCTGGGGTTGGCCCGCTTCTGCGCTCCCAAAGTTCGTAGCACGGATAGGATGTTTCGCAAACCGAAATCATAATGCACTTGCTTGGACAGCTGTTCTTCGCAAAGTTTATACAGCGTGAAGAATTTCCTAGCCAAAATAACGTTGTCTTTGAAACCGCAACTGGCAAGCTTGACGCGCATGATGATCTGTCGATCGGGGACCATCATAGCAACGGATCTGGAAACAGTATGAACTTTCAGTTACTAAGGGTCGATGTAGAGTTCTTAGGTACTTGCCTGAACATGATTTTCAAATTCTCGGGTAGTTCCTGTCGACCCGCATAACCTGGATTCATTGTAATGAACAAGCCAAACTCCGGATTCAGCGATACAGTATCGCCATCGCTGAATACAAACTCCTTCTTTCTCTCTTTGCGGGCAGTCAAGACAATGCTGAGAAAAAATAATATTCCAGAACCCATTCGTTGTTGGATTATTGACTACTTACTAAATCTGCTGAGCGGCTACTGACAACACGGGAAGCTCAATTCGGTTGAACTCATCGAAGCAGCCCCACGATCCGGATTGTGCCAAACCTTTATAGATTCGACCTAAGCCCCTGAAGTCCATCTGATCGGAGCAGTTGAACACAACGACCAATTTTCCTAGTGCCCTGCCCATGTCCTTCGTAGTCTCAGTCTTACCAGTCCCCGCAGGACCAGCTGGGGCGCCCCCCATAGACATCCCAATTGCCTGCGCTAGAGTAATGTAGCACCGATCCGTTAAGGGAGTAATAGCCAACCGTTCCGTTACTCCCAGGTACTCGTTCTGGTAGATGAAATCCACGTCCGTAATCTTCACAATCACATCATCTGTATCCTCAATGTAATAGAACCGGGCCTGTTTCTGCCACTCGAAATCAAGAGCCGTCCGAATCTTTAACCTCACCAAGTCATCAAATATATCCCTCTGGTGGACATGTATGGTCACCATGGTCTCGAATCGAATTCGCTCCAGTTTTGTCAAGTCCTTCACCGTCAACTCAATCAAGCTGTTCAGCAGATCCAAAAACCGTTGATTCGTCTTTCGCATGATGTTCTTATCTGTGCGACAGTTGCGCAGGGCGATTTCCGCATCCCGGGTCCACAGCAATTGCACCCCAACCAATCCAGCTTGACCACAGTAGCTTTGAAATCCTGTGATGAACTCAAATTCCGGGTCCTTTAAGTTTTGCGCCATATTCGCCAGGATATCTCGAATAGTGTCTTGCATTTCCACTAGTAAGCGATTCAACCAAAGTTCAACTCCACCGGTGCACAACACAGGCCTTCCCAGCGTAACCTTCTCGTTATTATCCGAAAGCAACGATATAATCTTGCCAATCGATTTCTCTTCAAACTCCACTTTGGCAACGGCATCGAATATACTCAACAGATGACCCTGTATCGAAGTTGGATCCGAACTCTGACCAAGGATTTCCAACAGCACAGGATCCGAAATGAAGAAAAATCGAGGAAATATCAGCCGTTTTGATTCCAGATATCCAGTCAACGATTTCTGGCATGACTCCAGTTGCTCGAGCAAAGCTGTCAAGGTACTCGCCATTGTGTCCTCTCCAGTACAACACTCAACGGCATTCGAGTTATCTCTGGCACGGAACATGATTCGCACCCAAGTTTTATCGATTCCTGCAAACCGCTTCGCATCCTGAGGCAACTGCTTCGAGATGTCACCACCAACGAACACCGCTTCCAGATAGATCCACAAGTTCTGGACCTGCAACCACTTCTCCAGAATTTCTCCCGTATTGACCAATTTGTGCAACCAACGCATAATATCCTTTTTGAAGTGGGCGTTGAATCGATTCGATGCTAGCGAATTTACAATCATGATGCTGTCTTCCAGCAACGAAATAATCTCGATAGTTTCGGTCGGTTTGATCAGCAGTTCACCGCGGTTCTTGAAGTTTGCAAACTGCAAGCTGACCACCGACCACTCAGCAACAATTTGCCGTAATTTGGTGTCGATGTCGTTCTCCTTTACCGCTCCGATACAAATATCTTCGATGTCATCCTTGTTATCCAGCAGAGGAGCCTCCATCACTTGACCGACGATAAAGTCAGGTGAATTTACTTCAAATTTACATCCCAAAAGGTTCTCCAACTTTTCCCAGTGACGATCCTTCATAGCTTCGTTACACATCAACTCCAGCAGTGGGCAACTGTCGTTGAAGTCGTCAATCTTCTTCTTCAGATCAATATACGCCAGCCAGTCCTTCATTGCCTTTGGAAGCTTTCGGCAGCGATTCTGGAAGTCTGTCAACTCCGTATTGATCTTCTCAATGTCCACATCTTCCCACGGAGTCTCATAGTACTCGTCGATACTTCGCATGACTTGCAGATACAATGAGTATAGCTTGTTCAGTAAGTTGAATTCCTTCTTGCGTTTGTGCAAAATGGGATAGTCGTTGACCTTGAGACCGAGGAATGCTTCACCGCCTGCATACATCTCAAATCTTCGCCACAGTTCTTCGAATCGTCCCTGGAACATCAATACGCGATCGCTAGCTTCCTTCGCGGAGATGCCTTCCTCCATTGGACCTTTGGTTTCGAATTCCTGGTCAAAGTCGTTAATTTCTTCCACGAACTGTGCCACTCCTTCGGCTAGTTCTCGCTGTAGTGGCACCTGAAGAGCAATGATGTCATTCTCTACCTCTTCGACTTTCTTTGCCATCGTCTTGAAGCTTTCCCGTAATCCGTAAACATGTTCTTTGTCATCTGTGGTGATTCCCAAATCGAATTCCGCCAGTGTGTTGTACGTGGCTTCTATGAATCCAAGGTCTACGTCGATGAATGTGAAGTTGTCCTGTACTATTTGCAGACACTCCATCGCCATTTTTATGTCATCTAAGTCCTTGAGAGTTCGACTCAAAACCCCGTCGTGCTCGGTAATAAAGTTGTGAATCTCCGACACCCGCTTATTGTAGTACTCCAGCAGTTTCAGCAACACAGCTTTGATCACATGCTCCGATCGAATCAGAATAGGCCCAATGTGAGTGAGGAACTCGATTCTATCCAAATCCAATTGAATCCGTTCGAACACGGCAGGTTTCTGCTCAAGTGGAACCTCAAACAGATCGTTCTTCCACATGTATTCGTACCGATCGTACATGATGTGAAGTTCGTGTTCAATATCCGGTTGAACGAGCAACAGACCACCGTCAAACTCGTGAATGAATCTCGACACTTCCTTGTGTTCGGAAACCGCTCTGAACCAGGTCCGCTCGTGACGGATCTCCTCCAGCACCGGTCTACGCAGTTTACGCTCCTCGGTCTTTGCCTGTCTACCCCAGGTCGACACAGCGTAGAACGTTTCCACCACGTTCATGATCACTCGCTGGAAGTTGGCCTGTATTTCTTCGAGCGATGGCCGAATGACGCACTCGTCCGGTTCGAGTTCCATCTCCGTCACCAACAGCGGATTGATGTCTCGTAGGGTGGCGGCTTTGTTCAATTGGAGGCTGGAGAGGGAATGGTAAAGTTAGAGTTTATAATCACATATCAGAAACTCGTAAGTTGTCTCCTGGACAATTCTGGATTGTTCATTGAAATTTCGTCGAGCTAAAATGATCGGTAAACGAAGATACTCAAGTTTTCAAATGATACTTACTTAAGCAACTTTATCCGAGCCCGCAATTTCTCCAGAGAAGTCTTAACCATCCTTACGAAGATCGATATGATCCGATGGTTGAAGTACGCAAACAACTCCATGCAATCAATATGAAGCAGCGTTACGTCGTAGTTCAATCCTGAATAATCTTGAAACACTAAAAAAAAGGAGTACAAAGCTCAAACAAACAATCTCCGTGGGATCAAGAAAGCGTAATCTTACATGCTTTCCGGTGCGTCTCCAGAGAAGGATATGCTAGGGCTTTGTAAATCTTATTGAAACTGATCCAGTCGTACTTATCGATGGGCAACGCTTCCTCTCGTCGTCTGTTGTCGTCATTTATCTGATCCAACGGAAGCTGAAACTTTCGGTTGCCCTTCTCGTCGTAATCCGCCACTTCGATATGTTCAACAAACTTATCGATCAGCTCAATCGTAGCCTTCTCCATTGCTTGGGATTTCTTTTCCAAGTATTTCTCTGAAAAGATAACATTTAGGAACAAGACATCTTCATCAACGTTTTAGCTTACCAATAGTTTGCCTGTATTTAACGTTCATATCTGCAAAATGCTCAGCCCTAACAGCGTCCTGGGGCAGCACGATCAGATCGGTATTCGCGAACGAATGGAGGATATCCTCGATCCGCGCCTCGCGGATGTCGTTCACTTCCTTGACGAATTGTTCAACCTTGGTAAGAACCTGATCGACCTCATTCATGTAATCTTTCAAGTTCATCGACATCCACGTGACCTCCGTTAATCCAGCTAGAAACACATGTTCCAATTTGATCAGCATTGTCCTCATCAACGGTAGGAAAATCATTGGGATGTTCAGCCTGACTTCGTTGTTGCGTCTCAACAGATCCTTCACTCGTTCGAAGGCGTTGTACAGATTTTCCTTCTGAAGAACCAACAGTACGGCAAAGTCTGGAGCGGCGAGACCCCATTTAAGCACTGTTTCTGCCTCTTTGATCACCTGTCGTAAGAACGGATGAAAGTTGACCTCCAACCAGTTGGTGTCAACGTTTTTCCTGTAGATCGGAGATTCCAGCCTTGATCGAGCTTGCTCTACATAATCCCACCAAGCTCGATGGTGCAACATTTCATAATGCAGCAGCACTTCGCTCAGGTAGTTGTAATACTTGACGCAGAGCTGTGCCTTCCTATTATCGATAACGCAACTACGAGTCTTGAGAACCTTGATCGGATCGTCCATCTTTCGAGACATGAACCGTGCCCACATAATTCGGCCCACGCTGTTCGGAACGCACCACACAATCGGAGGATTTGCACGATTTTCGTTGTAATAATCTTTGATTTCGAATATCTGGTTCTCGAGCATCACAGCTACATCCAAATATCGACGATCTAGACACAGACATTCCAACTGGAGCTTCTCGAAGCGATTCAACATCAACAAACGGTTTTCGATGGTTGGAACTCCTGCAAGCATCTCTTTAACAAATCGCTGCAGTCCGATTTCGGCTGCTTCTACTTCCTTCAGGAAGACTTCGTAGTCTTCGTCAAACTGGTGCTGTCGATGGACCAAAGGATCATAGGATTTCGCAGCAATTACTTGGTAAGCTTTCTGGATTTGGTTGGAAAACGTACCCGTTCCTGCGATTCCAATGCGATCGATGATCTGGTACTTCAGGTATAGCTCCATGATGTTCTGGATCTTATCCAGTCGTACGTTGAAGGTGTCCATCTTTCCAAAAATGTACATATCGGAGCATTCCCATGGGGTCTCATCCGAACTTTCCTCCATGTCATTTACCGTCTTGTAGTAATAGAACCGGTAGGACATATCCAGGTTTTTGCAAACCTTAATCTTAGCAATGATATCTTCCTTCTTCTGTTCGTAGATCGTGCTCTTTCGCCGGCAAGTCATGTACTGCTGACAATTCATAATGATCTGATTGGTCACCTTCGACAACAGCCCGGTGATTCTATCAGATGTGTTATAAAAAATGGAAGTCTTGTACACCTGTCTGATGGTGGTCAACAAGCTCGATATCGTACCGGCAACCTCTTCCGGTTCACAGCGATACAGCGGATCCCAAAATCGCTCAATCGAGCTTATATACCGTACATTGTTTCGGGACTCGTTCAGCTTATCGGTGATTTCATTGTCCATTAGTCGCCACTTCTTCAACAACTTCGAGCGCGATAGCTTTAAGCAAGTGTAATAGCTTACAAACGGCCTGGATTCGATAAACTCCGCTATTGACGTATACTTGGTCAACATGCTTCGCCAGTACTCCAACTCGTGCAACGGTCCCACATCGTACGGGTCCCGCCGTATCTGTTCACCTTGAGTCAAGGCGAACTGTATCTGTCGCATCCACCACGCAAAGGCACGTTCCGCAGCGTAAACCTTATCCCGATCTCGAGACGTTTCCTCGACCTGAACCGCCGTCAACAGGAAGCCCTTGTACAGATTGTGATCAACTTCGAACATGATTCGCTCGGAAATATCCTTTTCGGTGCCTGCATAATTTGACTTATGTTAAAATATCTACAGAAGATCTACTTTGGAAACCTACTTTTCAGAAACTTGATGAACGTTTCAACGCCATGAAAGAAGTAACTCTTCTGGAGATCCGTGCAAAATCCGTAATCCTTCATGCTTTCCAGAGACGGTTTGTTCACATTTTCCAACAATGATGTGAGCGTAAAAATGATCGAACAGCCCTCAGGAATGGAAATCGCATTCAAAAATACTTCCTAGAAATTTTATCGATTATTAGAGACGGTTCTCACCCTGAACCCCATAACTTACTAACCTCCCCTAGATTTTTCACATCGACGCCTTTCGTTTCGTTGTGCCTATAGGCTGCAACGCAAACCTCCGTTACCTTCTCGTCCGTTCCATCCGTAATCAACGCCTGCATCAACTTTTGTCGCTTCTGCTTGGGATTGTATCGGCCGGAGTTCAATGCTGGAACCGGATACATTCCGTAGTACACCAGCAGCCCTTTGATCCCGTCCGGTTCGAACAGCCGCTCCATGAGCTGCACATATTCATCCTTGTCGGCAGTGCAGTCGACCAGCAATTCCTGATCCTGGTTTAATACATGGGCAGCTCCATCCAGTATGAACCGATGCTTTGGTCCAATAACGTTCAACCGCCCGGCCCGAGCGTCCTTGGCCCGGTCCAGATGTTGCTGCAGCTCTTGTTCTTTGGTAATCTTCGGAGGACTTCCGCGACGGCGCTTCACCAGCTGGGCTACATTGCCTATCACGGAGGATACCCCCACCACCTGGTAGAGGGCACGCAGGTGACGTTCCGGATCGTTTTCTTCCATGGTCTTCCTTACGGGGAAGGATTTAAAACTTCCGGTGACAATCGATGTGGCGTCTGGAATGGGTCAGTGGCTACTTTGCTCGAAAAACATTTGGAAGTGAGCATTTCTATTTGAAGCACGTGGTTGGTACGTTGATAGCGAGGTGCGCTTAACAGATAGTGATAAATTTGAAGTAGGTGAAGATTTGTTGTATCTTGGAGCACTAGTGACATACGAGGCGCAGAGATCAGACGTCAAACTTCTGTCTTAATCTTATGTAAACCCCATTAAGAAAAATCCTCCGGTTTTCCCCAAGAGTAAGTCGGTTCGCGTCGGTATTGGTTCAGTCAAATCGAACGATTGTTGCATCGACAGAGTAGACGACATCCATCGGTTAAAAGCTTTGTCTGTAGATTAATGCAACGACGAAGCTCATCAAGGGTCCGACAAACAGTGTCCCAAACGCGAGGATTTCAAGCGGATCCGAAAGCAAGCATCCACAAAAAGCCAACCAGGACGGAAGAAGGAAAACACTCCGGCATTCAGGGCTGAGGACTTCCCGCCTCTTCGTGTTACGCCGCACAGTCGCAAATACACGGGTGCAATCCGACCCCCGTTAAGAAACGTCTGGTGCCTCAGCTGGACAAAGCTCTCCATCCCCCCGGATTCTGGAGACAACCACCAGCACAAAACGCCAATCCCGATCTCTTCTCTGCGGATGAGCTGATGAAGATTTTCGTCGACATGACCAGCGCTCTTCGTCAGTGCCGCAACAAGCCCAAACAGATCCTCGGTAAGTTTATTATTCAGTATGGCGTCTAAACCGTTAGCTACTTGTTAGTCACTTGGAACGCTTGCTCTGTACGAGCCAAAAAGTTCGAGCTTGCTGACTTCCTCCGCAAGCATAGTATCGACGTGGGCCTCCTATCAGAGACTCATCTAAAGTCCGGCGACAGCTTCTGGTTGCCTGACCACAACATTATTCGGCTTGATCGCACCAGCTCCAGAGGGGGGGTCGTCGTCAAGAAAGGAATAAAATACCACACTCTGTCCCATATCCGCACCTCTATCATTGAGGCCCTTGGTGTGGAGGTGAAGTCGTCGACTGGATACGTCCAGTTCATCGCCGTCTACTGCCCTCGACAGTGTGCCGCCAGCAGTGGACTAGCGGCTAAATTCAAGAACGACCTGTCCACCATCACCCGTACCGGTTCCCGCTTAGTAGTTGGAGGAGATCTAAACGCTCGCCATGAGGCCTGGCGAAACTACCAGCAGAACCAGAACGGTCACCTGCTCTTCGACATGCATGGGCTGCACTCCGTTTGGTTTTCGGATGAACCAACATTTATCTCAACGGCGGGCAACCCATCGACGCTAGACCTGTTCCTGACAAATATCGGCTTGTCCAAGCCGGTAGCCTTAAACGAACTCAGCTCCGACCATCAACCGGTGGTGACTGAACTGGGATACAACGTAGCCCCTGCTCCAAGCCTGCGCAAGGACTACCATCGCGTAAACTGGGCCCAGTTTGGACGCATGGTAGACAGACACATCATCGACATCCCGCCGCTTAACACCGTGGAGGACATCGACCGAGCGTTGGAGGGACTCCACCAAGCCATAACCGTAGCTGACGAGGCGTGCGTCCGACGAGTTCCTGTGAGGGGTAAGTTTATTGCCATTGATTCCCACACCCAACTCTTGATTCGCCTGAGAAATGTTCGTAGACGTCAGTTTCAGAGGACTGGAGATCTGGGCAAAAAACGTGAAATGGCCGATCTGAACAGGCAAATTGCTTCCAGAATGGACTCACTCCAAATTCAAGTTTCGGTCGTGTTGTCCAGAATCTGGACGACCGCTCCTGACCATTCTGGAAGGTAGCGAAGGTCCTGAAAGCTCATCCCAAACCCATTCCACCGCACAGAGTCGAAGACTCACAGAAACAAAATCCAGGTCGCTCAGAATAGAGTGCTGAGGATGGTACTTGATCGTCCTTTCGACACTAGAATAAAAAATTTACACGAAGAGACAGGCGTTGCCAAAATAGATTCCAGAATTAACGAAATTAACACTAAATTTGCACAAAAATGTATTTTATCAGAACATGCTTTGATAAGCAATTTGTATATAGTAGATTAGGTGTATATAGTAGTTGTAGGTTAATTGTAGTTCTAAATAGTAGTCATAAGTAGTTTTCTTTTTCAATTTAAAACAAACCAATCCCACCAAGGCACAGTGGTTGAAAAGTCCATTTTGACGCTCTTAATTAATAGCACCATGGAGAGTGGATTTAGAGTAATGACGTCTTCAGCAAAGTTGATCAGTATGACATGCTTCATCTTTTGAAGGCATGGGTTTTGTGATTAATCCCCTAAAAGTGAAATAAAAATTTATTTATTCACAATGTCGAGATAAATGGTTGACGTCTTTAGCAAACTTGTATCAAATATGGTTACAAACAACTTTGCTGAAGACATAAAAGTCGTAAATTCCACTCAAATCGAGAAAGAGACCGTTGATTGAGGACGGACCCCCAAAAAAACGTTTTTCATCAAAACACATATTTTCTTTAATTTTAGGTCTTCACTATGTGCAACAAAGTTTATTGGTATACTAAAATACACATTTTTCTAGAACATACTATACCTGCATCATTTGAATAGGATGAGTTATTGATCAATTTTCTTCTATTTTCCACATATTTTAGACTTGTGTATCTTTCTTAGGTGCTAGAAAGTGCAGATGAAGTCAAATGCATCTAAAAATACATTAAAAGAGCTTTCAAATGGTGGTAAACTTGTCCGTCCACGACCGTCTGCTGGAGAGTTGCGATCAAAACAAACACCCGTTGATAGGCTTTATAGAAGTCATGTAAACAACAAGGGGATACTGTGTTTTATACCGCGCAATAAACTCGTTTCCATAGTAACCGGTTCCATAAACAAACTTCCCACTTCTCAGAGCTTATAAAATTCAAGAAGTGCACATTTTATTTTAAAACGGTTCCCAGAAGGCAAAACTGAAGCATCAAGAACGAAAAAATCTGTCAAATTCAGTTAAACTTGTGAGCCGATAAGTGTTTTTCCATAGAGCTCATCACTGTTTTTCATCAAGTGTGAAGCAATTGTGAAAGTATATGAAAGAATGTAAGATAGAAGAAGTGCAGAAGCCAAGAAGAGAGAGACTAATTCTGCCAAAGAAACCGGACAGCAGAGGAAGCTACGAGAGCAGGACTTTGAAGTAAAATGGCATTATCTGGTAGGTCTTAATTTCTTTTATTTTTTTCAATTCATCACAACAAGTGCTAACGATCTCTTTTTTTCTTGATTCAATTTAAGTTGAAATTGATAATCGTGATCTCTTGTCACTCTCGTCAAAAACGAGTGGAGGCCAGTCATCAAAATTCAACTGCGTTTATGAGAAGGTACTCAAGTGTTATGCCATAAATGTGAATATTATGCCGGATTTGGCTGCATATGTCGGAAAACCCGTGAAAACGATTTGCGACTTTTTTCAAAAGCTCTGCTTGTGCATGGTTGTCAAGTGTCACACCGAGTATTTCAGTAAGCCGTTCACGCTTCCGGAAAACGTTTTAAACTTGCTTCCGTCTACTTCTGAAAATGCGAAAAGTGTGGCAGGACGGAAGGTTGTTCCGTTCGAAGAATGTTGTGAAACAACGTAGAGGATGAAAACTGCAGAGGTTTGGAATAGCTACCAACTTAATGAGTTAGCATTTGCGGCACAAATGAAGATGGGAGAATCAGGTGAGAAAGAGGTGGCAGATATCCTGAAAATCGTTTCTCACGCAAGTCCTGCAGATGAAAATAAGTTGGTTCATTCTTTGAAGAAGTCCTTGAGCAACCCTATACCCGAATACACAGATCTACAAGCTTTGGCTTTGTTAATCGACACCAACCTATCGAACCTGGTATTACTTGCCAGCTCGTATTCATAAAGTATTGATACATGGATCAGCCGTGATTGAACATTTCCTTGTTCCAATCGGTCAGCTTTCTGAGGAAGCACAGGAAGCAAGGAACAAGGATTGGAAAAGGTACATGTATTTAACCAAAATAACAACGAATAAAATGAGTGTGCCCGGTCTTGCTCGGGATTCAATATTAGCTTGAGTTTATGCGCCGATTTAAAAAAAAGCATGATATATTGTACGTAGCCCCCCCCCTATTATCTAAGGGGCTACCCCCTATGATTATCTCCTTATACCCCCACACTCGCCTCCACATGCCTGATTTGGTTCCATTTGCTTGATTAGTTCTCGAGTTATGCAGAAATTTCTGTTTCATTTGTATGGGAGCCCCCCCTTACAGAAGGGGGAGGGGTCTCGAACCATCATAAGAACCTTCCACGGCCCCAAAAACCCCTGTATACAAATTTTCACGCCAATCGGTTCAGTAGTTTCCGAGTCTATAAGGGTCAGACAGACAGACAGACAGACAGAAATTCATTTTTATATATGGGTCATTCCGCGCCAAGTGGTCACAAAAAATTGCAAAAGTGAAATTGACCAAATTTGGAGGGAATGTTCATTTAAGTTCGAATTCTAAAATTCCAAAGTTGTATGCTGATCGTAGCACCCCTCGATCATGGGGCACATTTTTCATTTTTCATTATTTTTTAGAAACCACTACTTTCTTTTGTTCATATCTCCGGAACAAATAAAGCTACAAATTGCATTAGGTATTGTTTTAATAAGGAAATTAAACAAGAAATCTAAATTTGTAACTTTTGTTTCTGTACAGTGTTGCCAAATATTTTTTATTTTTGTTTGAAAACTTTAAATGCAGTTTTCTCATAATACGTGTCGTTTAATTTTCATTTTAAGGACACCATCCTGTTCTTCATCCTTTTTTACATAAGAAACACTTAACGACAAAAAGTAATTTGCGTAGTTTCTGAGATATTGCATTTTGAATGAACGAAAGTCATAAATTATAAGGGTTATTTTTTTAACGTTTCCTCGTAATAAGATTAATTCTCATGACTTACTTTGTTAAATAATACT